AGAGCCACAAGACTGCACACCCTTATTTTGTTCCTGATCTTAAGGTGAAACCATTCAGGCTTTCATCACTAAATATGATGTTAGTTGTGCATTTCTTGTAGATGCCCTTAATTAGGTTGATAAAGTTCCCTTCTATTCCTAGTTTGTTTGGTATTTTTATCATGAAGCGCTGTTGAATTTTGTCAAATGCATTTTATGCATCAGTTGAGATGATCATACAGTTTTATTCTTTATTCTATTGATATGATGCATTATATTAATCAATTTTCAATTTTAAACCAATCTTTTATTCCTGGAGTAAATCCCACTTACTCATGGCATATAATCCGTTTTGTATGTTGATGGATTCAGTCCATTTTGTTGAGAAATTTTGCATCTATACTCATAAGAGATATTGGTCTGCAGTTTTCTTGTATGTCTTTGCCTGGTTTTATGGAAATACTAGTTTCATAGATTAAGTTAGAAAATATCCTGTCATATTTTTTAGAAGGGTTTGTGAAGAATTGGTATTGATTCTTCCTTAAATGTTTGGTAGAATTAATCAGTGAAACAATATGGGCCTGGGTTTTCCTTTGTGGATGATTTTTTGGTAACTAATATGATCTCTTAACTTGTAAATGATCTATCTATTCAAATTATCTGTTACTTCTTGAGTCAGTTTCAGTAGTTTGCATCTTTCTAGGACTTTGTTCATTTTATTGAAGTTATCTATTTGTTGATATATAGTTGTTTATAATATTCCCTTATAATCCTTTTTAAAATTTCTGTAAGTAATGTTCCCTCTTTCATTTTTGATTTTAGTAATTTGAATCTTTTTTTCTTCAGTCTTCAATCTTTTTTCTTGGTCAGCATAGCTAAAGGATTGTCAATTCTGTTAATTTTTTAAAAAACATTTTTTATTTTCCATGTTGTTTTGCTATGCTCTATTTCATTAATTTCCACTCTAATCTTTGTTATTTCCTTCCTCTGTTTGGCTTGGGTTTGATTTGTTCTTCTTTTTATTATTGAATATTAAGCACGAATACAAGCTCTTTGTTGAATATGTAATTTACAAACATTTTCTTTCAGTCTGTATCTTATCTTTTCATTCTCTTAATGGTACCTTTCAGAGAGCAAAAGTTTTAAATTTTCATTGTCCAATTTATCAATTTTTAAAGAATTGTGTTTTTGGTATCACACCTACAAACTCTTTGCCTAACTCAAAGTCAGAAAGATTTCTTCTATATTTTCTTCTAAAATTTCAATAGCTTTACATTTTACCTTTGACCTATGATAAATTTTCTTTAAGGCATTAAATTTAGGTTGAAATTCATTCTTTGCATATTGATGACCAAATGTTCTAAAACTCTTTGTTGAAAAGACTATCCTTTCTTTATTGAATTGTCTTTGCACCTTTGTTGAAAGAACAACTGGCCACATCTGTGTGTGTCTATTTCTGGATTCTATTTTGTCCCATTGATTTATGTATCCATCTCTACACCATTTTCATCACTTTAGCTTTATAGTAAATATTAAGCCTGTGCCACGAAACCTCCAAATTTATTCTTATTTAAAAATTATTTTGACTATTCTAGTTCCTTTGGCTCTCCATATAAACTTCAGAATATGTTTGTCTGCATCTGCAAAAACTCCTGCTGTGATTTTCATTGGAATTGTGTTGAATCTATATATCCATTTCAGTTTTAAGAAAGAATTCAATTTTAACTATATTGAGTATTCCAACCTATGGATATGGTATGTTTCTCCTTCCATTTACATCATCTTTCATTTCTTTCATGAGCATTTCATAGTTTTCAGCACACAGATTCTGAACTTGTTGTGTTAGATTTATAACTATTTAATTTTGGGGGGAATCATTGTAAGTACTGTTTTAAACATTTGGTTTCCAATTGTTCATTGCTATTAAATACAAATACATTTTATATTTCTATGAAAACATTGTATCTTGCAAGTTTGCTAAATTCGTTTGTTAATTATAGAAGCTGTTTTGTACATTCCTTGGGATTTTCTTCCATAAACAATTATGTCATCTTTAGGTAGGGATAGTTTTACTTCCGCTACAGTGTTGAATGGGCATTATGAGGATAGAGATCCTTGCCATAGTTTAATCTTACATCTTAAAGATTTAGTCCTTCACCATTAAATATGATTAGTTCTGGGTGTGCTGTTTTGGTTTTCAGGCTGGCTTTAAGTTCAGGCTGGGAGATATTGGAGGAGTAAAACAAGAAAATTCACCACTGGATTAGTGGTTCTTCAAGTTCTGGCTTCCTTCCTTAACCCTCCTGCTATTATTTACTTTGCAAAATCCTCAGATAACTGCACCATGTGTTCTTTCTGGGATTTTTTGGTTGCATACAATGGGAGAGACAGAGTGGGATGTGCTTACTCCATTTAAATGGTATCAAATGATCACCTTTTAATTACTTATACTTTAACAAGCATTGTATTCTACATGGAAGTTAATTCAGAGCAATCGAGGTATAGAGTCAGCTCCCAACATATGCAGACTCAGCTACTTGCATTTGTTTCAAAAATAAATTAGTATAGGTTTGGAATCGTTGGCGCTTGCTTGGGACACAGCTCGTTACTCCAACCTCTGTCAGTGACATAGTCCTATGTTTCAGCAGCAGATTTGAAATAAATGATAATAATGTAGTGACTGTAAAGATGAAGAATCAGAACTTGAGTTAATGTTGTCACTATATGTGATCTTTTGGTGATTTTATTTGTGTTTAAAATTTAAAACACTAAATGAAAAAGTATGCAATTTGAGGTGAAATATTTGTGTTTGGTACGCATGGTATAGTTTGGGTAAAAATCAAAGTTATTAATTCCAAATCCATATTTGTGTCTTGTACAAAATTCTCTGAACTTTTATGGAGTTCACACTTTTAGAAGTGCTTTTTAATGGGTGATTTTTTTAGACATTGGGAAAAAATTATCCATTCTTTTCAATATCACCTCATCTACTAAAAATTTTGCTGAGCATCAGTATATCAATGAAATAGACTACTCCAGGCAAATGAAGTTGTGTGCACAATAAGGACAAAATCTGAAAGTTAATGTTAACTTTTGAAATATTGTGAAATGTAAAACAAATCATAGACAGAAGAGGATAAACTCATAATGTGTTCTTTTCTCCACATGATTTGTTTTCTGAATTATATTTTATTATTTGGTGTGAAATTTTAGCTGACGTTAGTACGACATAAATATTTGCAAAGAGCCAGAATCAACCTTCATTGATTAACCTTGTAAAATTCATGCCTGAAGATCAGTACATAAAAATTGTGGAGAAGGACATTAACTGTACAACACAAAA